TATGCCTCTCTCCGGGCCTGGTTCTGCCAACTCTTACCCCTGGGTCCTAGACCTTGTTACACTGAACGTACACTCAGCAAAGCAAGCACTAGGCAAATAGGTTTTGCAGTACTGGCCCCTTATCTCCATTTTAACTCTTCCACAGGCAATCTATGGGCACCTTTTCTTGTGGATCGTAAATAAGATCAATGCTGCAATTTTCAACCCACCTTCTCAGGATCCTAAAAGTTCACGCAGATCCATTGGGCTTCTGGACATCTTTGGGTTTGAAAACTTTAACACCAACAGGTAGGATCTTCCAGATTTATTTCCATCTGGGAAAGTGACAAATATCAGACATAAAGGCTACGTCTACACTGGCATGATTTTCCGGAAATGCTTTTAACGGAAAAGTTTTCCGTTAAAAGCATTTTCGGAAAAGCGCGTCTAGATTGGCAGGACGCTTTTCCGGAAAGCACTTTTCCCGGAAAAACGTCCATGGCCAATCTAGACGCGCTTTTCCGCAAAAAAGCCCTGATCGTCATTTTCGCGATCGGGGCTTTTTGGCGGAAAACACTACTGTGCTGTCTACACTGGCCCTTTTCCGGAATAGTTTTCCGGAAAAAGACTTTTGCCCGAACGGGAGCAGCACAGTTTTTCTGGAAAAGCACTGATGATTTTATATTAGATCGTCAGTGCTTTTCCGGAAATTCAAGCGGCCAGTGTAGACAGCTGGCAAGTTTTTCCGGAAAAGCGGCTGATTTTCCGGAATAACTTGACAGTGTAGACACAGCCAAAGGGAGAGAACAAAATGAATTAATTTTCTCCTTCATTGTCATCCTCGCACTCAAATAAAGATGGTATTTGCTTCCATCGCTGAATTTTCCTCACAATGCGCCGACTTTTCCTGCCACATGGATGCAGAGCTATGTTGCACATCACAGGAGTTCTCCAACTTTATCCTAGCATCTTACTGGAGATCATGTTGTAGACCTCACCTCCCCAGGTTCCCACTCCCTGCATGCTTTCCTCTTGCCCAGTCTTCTCCTGTATATGGTTTCAGGCCTTTTGATTTCCCTGCTCCTGTGGATAAGCTGCCCCGATAGCTCTTCCTCCATGACATAATGCCCACTGTCTCTTTCCCACCTCTCCTGGCCATTCTTCTCCCACTGGTGGCTTCAGGCCGCTAGGGCAGCTTCTCTTTTTTCTTAGTGGCCCAAATGGAGGTAGCTAGACACACTCTGCCTCTTTGTGTCCAGCTGCTTCTGTAGACACCAGGGCTGGAAGCAGCAGGACACAAGGAGGACAGCCAGCACCATCTAACCTGCCTGCTTTCACAGACCATCAGCAAATGCTGTGCAAACCACGACCCACCGGTAGTCTGTATGTTAATGTCCCAAACGTGCTACACCTGGGAGAGAGCAAAGGCGTGATCAGTATCACGTTTCTGTGTACTACCTTTAATGGGATATGTGATACATCCGGCTAGATTTTGATGCTGCCTAATAATCAATAATACTCTTTATTATTCCCCAAGGCTGCAATCCAGGTCATGGCCACCACGTGGTAGGTGCTCTGCAGACACACAAGCACACACAGGCCTTGCACCCAAGCATTTGCAAGACCAAATACAAGATGTGTGAACAACCAACAAAAGGAGGGAAGGTAGAAGACAGGACAAGAGTGAGAGGAATCAGATCACACACGTACACAAGCTTGCTAGGGGGACAACCAGGGAGCTCTTAAGCATCTATTTAAAAATACATACATCAAATGAAACAGTCTGTCCTGCCAGCCACACAGTGTTTGAAGAAGGAATCCTTTGCACCTGGGTTGATGGGTATGATGCAGTGTGCTCAAATAGACCAACACACACCAGGGATGTTTGTTAATAGTGTGAAATGGTGCCCCCTAAAGTGTAACGTGTGCATAGATTGAATGCAGAGTATCAGATAGAACTGTACAGTGGTAGTGACGGTACCAGGTAACACAAAGATGATAGTGGGTCCCCATGCTGTTCCCTTGCAGCTTTGAGCAGTTCTGTATAAACTTTGCCAACGAGCACCTTCAGCAGTTCTTTGTGCGCCATGTCTTCAAGCTGGAGCAGGAGGAATACCTTGCAGAGCACATCTCCTGGAACCACATTGACTTCACGGACAACCACCAGGCTCTGGAAGTGATCTCTCTCAAACCCATGAACATTATCTCCCTCATTGACGAGGAAAGCAAGTTCCCTAAGGTGAGAGCCTTATTCTGTCTGGTCTCTGGGCTTCCCATGGAGAGCAGCTGCCTAGGAAGCTTTTCTGGAGGGCCTATAAGCTGGTAAGACCCCATGAGAGTCATCTCCACACTGAAGTCCCTTCCCTACCTTTAGTGTCCTCTCCAGTTGCAATTCAAAGGGGAAAGTCCATGAGATTAAAACGCTTGTGCATACTATAGATGGGTCCCTGGTTGACTGTGTGCCAGACGGTGCTTACAGCGGGGAGGAATTCCTGCTCCGGAATTCTTCAGGGACACCGTCACTTGTGGCTAGTAGAGAGTCTGAGGCCAGAAGTGACCATTTGTGATCATCTAGTCTGACCTCCTGTATAACACAGGCCAGAGGATGTCCCCAAAATAATTCCTACTGCAGATCTAGAGAAAAAAAAAAGGTCATTACTGGACAATTGAGAATCCATTACAATCCTTGGTAAATGGTTCCAATGATTAATTATCCACGCTGCTAATATTTATGCCTTATTTCCCATCTGAATTTGTCTAGCTTCCACTCCCAGCCATAGGATCATGTTATACCATCGCTGCTAGATGGAAAAGCCCGTTATTAAATATTTGTTCCCTAGCTAGACACTTACAGACTGTAATCAAGTCACCCCTTTTTGTTAAGCTAATAGATTGAGCTCTCTAAATCTATCATTATAAGGCCTGTTTTCTAATCCCTGAGTCATTCTTGTAGCCCTTCTCCAAACCCTCTCCAGTTTATCAACATTCTTCTTGAAGTGCTGACACTAGAGTTGAATTGTAATGAAAATCGTATGCTTAATGACAAGCTCCCAACTGAATGCTGGCTAACCACTGAGCTTCAAGGTGGTGGTGGGGGGGTTTGGCAGTGTCAGCCACATGGAGATCCCCTCTGCTGCTGAGCCCATGCTGGGAAGAGAAGGCTCAGAGAGGCTAGGGGAACATGCCCTCAAGCAACTCTCACTGTCTCTTGCAAAGGCGCGCAGACCCCTAATCGCTGCAGGTGACCTCATTCCCTGGCCCCAAGGCAGCAGAGCACACACCCTGGTGCTGTGGAGTGCCAGCGATTCTCCAGCTGCGCTCTGCTTTTACATTTGAGAGTGCCAGGCTGGTGCCTTGCCCTCCTGCGGGATCCAGCTCCTAGCAGCACCTTCCCTCTATCCCTGCCACGCCAGTGCAACCACACAGTGCTGGTCAAGATGTAACCCTTTCTTCTCTCTGAGCACTCGTTTTCCTGCTTGCACGGTACAGGCCAGCGTTTGAGAGGGAATCTGCTTCATCCCTGCCTCTTGGTTGTGTTTGTCCATAGGGCTCTGACACCACCCTGCTAAACAAAATCAATTCCCAGCATGGCAAAAGCAAAGTCTACATCCCGCCGAGGAGCGTCCATGACACCAAATTCGGTATCAACCACTTTGCTGGGGTCGTCTATTACCAGTCAAAAGGTGAGAGGAGAGCCCCACCCCCACCCCCGAGGCGGCTGCACAGGGGGCATTGTCCTGTAGCCCACAGCCTCCCGCTTGCCACGCTGAACTAAGAAATCAGGGGTGGGGAACCTCTGGCTTGGGGGCCGGATGTGGCCCCCAGCTTGCTTGGATCCAGTCCCCAACGCTCAGGGCCCCCCAGCATTGGGGATCCTGTGCTGGTGCTCCAGTCCGCCCACTGCTCCACCATGGGGCTGGAGCACACAAAATCTACTAAGCTGCCCCCCACCCCAGGCTCTGGTGTGCGAGGGGAATTTGGGACGTGTCTTTCTCCCCCTCAGTTGGGGGGCCATGTCAGTGAAGGGTTTTTGTTGTTGTTGCTTCTCACTTGTGTGCGGCCCCTGGCTGATTTTTCTGTGGGTCAGTGGCCCCCGACCCAAAACAGGTCCCCCTCCATAATAAAGCAAGAGGAGTCATTTAAACTGAGCTGCAAGTTACTGTAAATTCAGTTTATTTTAGAGAGGCAGCCTGGGACCAGAGACCAGGTTATTTTATTTCTGACCATAGGCTTCCTGGAGAAGAATCGTGACATGCTCAGCTCCAACATAATGCAGTTGGTTTACTCTTCCAAAAACAAGTTCCTGAGGCAGATCTTCCAGGTGGAAACAAAGGTGGCTACCCTAGGCCGTGGGAGCGTGAGACATCTCAGAGTGGAGCATACCCCCAAGGTAGGCTTTCTTCCACTGGATTTTAAAAAAATAAATCCAGAATGTGCTTGAGTATCTGCAGCCTTCCAAAGGGTCTTACCTTCTGTCTGCAGACTCTTCTGTCTTTCCTTGGTGCAATTTGTGCACTGGTAGAACAGCTTGCATGATCAACTGCAGTCCTGAGTGATTACCAAAAACAACCAGGATGCCAACCCGAAACTCCAGAGTTTACAGGGGCCTTAGGGCTTCCTCTCCCTGAATGGTCCCTCAGAGCATGTGAAAGGCACCTCTTTTTCAGCATGTTCAGACAGCAAATTGACAAGTCTACATTGAGCCTATCCCAGCTGTGCCTGACTTTCTGCATGAAGATAGATGCCAGCTGCAGCTGTCAAAGCACGCCTTATGTGCTCATCACTATGCTATTTGGGTGCCTGTTTGTGACTGTGTGGGTAGGCCTGAAGGGAAGGGATATGGAGGAAATCATGACTAAGGGCTTGCACTATAAACCCAGAAGCTCCTTTTAATTGAAGACAGGCATGACCAGAAGGCATGAGAGTGAATAGAACGCTAGTAGCAGGCGGACAAATTGCAATTCATAAAAAAATTCTCCATCTGTTCTGAAGTGGGAACCTCAGAACTTCATGTGGGATCATTGAAGAGAATGACAGGAAGTGATCTGGGAGCTGAACATAGAGCAGTCCAGGCACTGTGCATGGGATCATTCACACAGCCAATCCAGAATAAAATACAAGTCCTGTCCCAAATAGGGTTGGCAGGTATCTGGTATTGGACCGGCATGTGGCATGTGTCTGGTAAAAAACCCCCAGAAACTCGGATGGAAGGCTGCTCGGGACATCCTTTAGGAGGAGTGTGGGGGGGATTTAAAAGGGTCATGATTTTTTTTTTGTTTGCTCAACAACTTTGGTCCCCTTTTTTCCCCTGCCGTGTTCGGTATTTTTTGTGAAACTGTCAACCCTAGTCCCAGATACTGCTGTATTGGATAGACAAGAGGTGCACTCACCTCTCTTGAGGGCCCCTGGTCAAGTGTATGAATGCTACAGTTTGTTCTTAAACAAAAGACAGGACTATGCAGCACTTTAAAGATTAACAAGATGGTTTATTAGGTGATGAGCTTTCCTGGGCCAGACCCACTTCCTCAGATCAAATTGTCCGTTTGTTCTTGATTTCCTCTGCTCACAGTGCCCCCTGCTGGCCGCTGCACTCAGAAGGCAGTTCTTCAACAACATAGGCCTCCAGCCAAGTCACACACAGGTCATGTGCAAAACTAAACAAACCCTTCTGTGCAAAATGGCCCCCATGTCCTGCACCTTCCCTGGGCTCAGTCTTTAAGCAGCCCAACAGGACCCATCACAGTACCCTCACTTGGTCTGGCTAGGTTGCAAGCTTCCGAATCTGGAACTGAGCCATGCCCCAAGGGCTTCTTCCCTGAGGAGCCTTTGCCTCTACTTCCCCCACCTCTCTTGAACTCAGTTCGCTGAGCGCAGCTCCCCAATGAGTCGGTTCCAGTGCAGTCCCCTTCCCTGGGATGCCAGAGTTGTAATTCCCTTCCTTAGAGTGCAGTCATTTCCTTTAAGTGGCTGGGGGCACCTGGTCCCATCCACTGCTCCGGGTCCTGAGCCAGCGACCCTTTAATCCTTGTGCTGCATCCCATTACTAATTTCTGCTTTATGTTTCAGTGGACCACTTCCCAGGTAGCCTGTCTTAGTTGAGTACAAGCAGCCAGCCAAAAGCTTCTTCCTTGTACCTCCAGTCCCTGCTAGTAACTACCTGCCAGGAGCTATTCTCAGATTCCCGCAATCCCTGCCATCAACTAATTTGTCCAGCCCCTGCAGCCAGCCAAGAACACTTCTTACTCCCCTGTCCCTGCCAGGAGACTTACCTGCAGCTCCTTTTATATGAGCCTGCTGGACCCTGATTGGCTGCATCACATGCAGCCTCTCTAGGCAGCTTGGAGGACCCTCTCCACTGCCCTTTTCTGAGGCCTACTGTTACAGGGTTGCTTGAGCACAGGGCCTAAGGGCCTACTGGTCCAGTGGTTCCCAACCTTTTTTGTACTGTGGACCAGCAAACTCATTCACAAACTTTTGGCGGATTGGTGACACTTTATTTGCATATTTCCATATTAATTATATATTGCAAATATGCAAATAAAATCTTACCGGTCTGCCAACATATGTACCATAGCTTCCAGAGCTGCCACGAACAGCTGGCTTCAGCTGCCACAGCTGCCATGTGACTGCCACAGCTGAAGCCAGCTTTTTATGGTGGCTCTGGGGACAGGGGCTGGGGCTGGGATACATCACGGCCCCCTGAGCCGCTGCTTTGGCTGTCGCAGCTGAAGCCAGCTGTTCGTGTACACCCCAGCCCCCAGAACCGCTGTGAACAACCAGCTTCAGCTCTGGCAGCTGCTGCAGCCTGGCAGTCAGCAGTTTGTGGCTCGTCACCAGTCCGCAGACCGGTGGCTGGGAACTGCTGTGCTAGTCCACCCCTTCACACAGTTTCAGAGGGGCAATCATGTTAGTCTGTAAGGGTATGTCTACACTTGCACCCTAGTTCAAACTAGGGATGCAAATGCAGGCATTCGAAATAGTCAATGAAATGGGGATTTAAATATCCCGTACTTCATTAGCATGATCTCACCGGAGTGCTAGTTCGAATCACAGCTGATTCAAATCAGGAAGTGCGTGCCGGGAGTAACGTTAGTCCGAACCAAGGGGTTTGGTTTGAACTAGCGCGTCCCGGAGCGCACTTTCACTTTTGAATCAGCTGGCATTCGGAGTAACGCGCCAGTGGATATTTAAATCCCCGCTTCATTGACTACTTCGAATGCCTGCATTTGCATCCCTGGTTCGAACTAGGGTGCAAGTGTAGACATACCCTAACTGAATACATTCAAACAACAAATAGTCTAGCAGCACCTTAGAGACTAACAAAACATGTAGATGGTATCATGAGCTTTCGTGGGCACAGCCCACTTCTTCAGATGACTGGAGTTAAGGGGCCCAGGGGACAAATAAATAGCAAAGAAAAAGAGGGGATGGAGAGAGAAAGAGAAGGGAAAAATAGATTGTCAATTAGAGTGTCCATGGTAAATGAGGCTGATAGAGTGAGTTCTAAGTACTCTCAGTACCCAGTGCTTGATGGAGGTGTGCTGTGTGTGGTTTCTGGAAATAATTTGTTTGAGGTTAGGGGGTTATCTGTAGGTGAGGATTGGCCTGTCCGCCAAGGTCTGAGAGTGAGGGGTCATTTTCCAGGACAGGTTGTAGACTGTTAATGATGTGCTGGAGGGGTTTAAGTTGGGGCTATAGGTGATGACCGGTGGTGTTCTGTTGTTTTCTTTGTTGGGCCTATCTTGAAGAAGCTGATGCCTGGATATTCGTCTGGCTCTGTCAATCTGTTTTTTCACTTCTCCGGGTGGATATTTGAGTTTTAAGAATGCCTGATAGAAATCCTAGAGATGTTTGTCTCAGTCTATGGGATTGGAGCAAATCCGGTTGTATCTTAGAACCTAGATGTAAACAATTGATTGGGAAATATGTCTTGGATGGAAGCAGGAGGAACGTAGGTAAGTGTAATGGTCAGTAGGCACTCCGCATTTTGCGTACCTTTTTTCCTATTCTTTTGTTGGAAGAGGCTTTTCTGACATTTGGCCTGTCTAGACTGGGCCAAATGTTGGGAAAAAACCCTCTTTCGGAAGCCCCCTTCTTCCTCGTAGAACGAGGAAAACAGGGGCTTCCGAAAGAGGGTGTTTACTCTTCTGCAAAAAAAAGTTGAAGAGCAAACGCATTCCCTGGACGTGACAGAGATTGTTCGGGATACCTCCAGTATCCTGAACACCCCCGCCCCCCACAGTCTAGCCGCACCCTATGGCTTTTTGCAATCCAGAGCATCGCCTGCCTGTGGCCAGGTAAACAACTTGGGAGAAGATGGAAGTGAACAGTGGACTAAACAGCAAAGAGCAACTGGCCTGGTGTCTATAGACAACAGCCGTGCGATTAAGAATTAGATTTATTTGCGCTGCTCTAGTAATTTCCTGTCTCTGCCACAAGCTTGAGTTATTTTTCTTTGGAGCACACACGGGTAATGCAGTGGCTCATCTAATGAGGATTCATGGCTCAATTTGAAGCCCACGTATGTGAGTGGAAACACTCCCATTAACTTCCATGGGCTTTGGATCAGCCCTGTACTTGGGAGCCTGGGAAATAAATTCTGTAGAGAGGACCAGTGGATGAAAGGCCCTGGGGGACTTTGCTGGCCTGACTTGGCAGATCTGCTCCTCAAGGTCCCTGGGAAAGAAACCATAACCCTATTCCTGGCAACAGCATCCTCAATTGTGTATCCACATGCGGCCGTAAGGACACTGGAGTCAGACCTCGCTGTGGCCCTCCTACTGATTTAGTGAGATGGAAGATGAGCCGCTAAGATGTGGGAATAGCCAATGTTAATTAGGCTCACATAATTATTTTAGCTATTTTGACAGATGTGCCTACTAGGTCTAAGTGGATAATCTGTGTTGCAGCTGCTCTAAGGCACTAAGGAAATATTTTCCAAAAGTACGTGTGTTTGGCCACAGCAGGGCAGAGTTGGTCTGCAGGGAAAGCTGCAGAAGTATCTACCCTTGTGAGGAATAAGTATCAGAATGGATTCGAGTAAGTGTAATAGCATGGAGGACCCCTGGAGTCTGTGGTTTCCCCACCTCAAAGAAACCTCGTCAGTGCTGCACAGTTATTAGCGTGCTGCTCTGAGGAAGCCCTGTCCTTATAAAAAATAAAATGCAGTGGGATCCTGCTGCAGGTTGGAATTTGCAGAGTGTCACAGTCATGACTGTGCAGTTTAAGGACAATGGAAATCTGAGATTAACTCCTGCTGCAAAGCTCTGTGTAACAAAGACTATGGAAAAGTCTGTGCCCATTGGGATGAGTGAAAACCAGCAGTAACTAAAATGAACACGTGTTTCCACTGAAGTTGCACCTGGGGAACAAAGCAGGATTCGGCACTATGCTGTCAGCCTAAGGACCCTGTATTTATGACCACACGCAGATCAGCTCTTAACGTGTCACTCCACATTCTGCGCCTTTTACTGTTCCACTATTTACAACAGCGATAATGACCTCGGAGTTAGGCTTCTCCTTCTGGCTAACAGCCGGTTGGGAAGCCCTGGGCCTGGCAGTGCCTAGCCTGGAAGTCAGTATTGCTGACATACGTGCTCTTCCCTATCAAGATCACAAGCAGACACATACAAGTTACCACTGCAGTAACACCCGGTGCATGCTAGGACAAGTCCTGTAATTCAACAGATCCAGAACTTGTCCAAAGAGACGGACCCTTGCCCTTGGTACACAGGATGGGTTAGATTTTGCCATTCTTATGCACGTGGAGCAGCGCTTTACTCATGTGAGCAGTCCCCTGAGTGCAGGGGTTATTGGCATGGGTAAGCACAGCGCAGAGTGAGTAAGGAGGGCAGAGCTGGCCCCTAGTGGGTACAGAAGCACAAAGGAGGGAACTGCCAGAAAATGTGTTTCTCTGTCCAGGAACACTGTGTGTGACATTATTAGTGGCTCAAGGGACGTAAGAATCACATATGTGCTTATTCTCCCCAGGGCTCGGATTCCAGCAAACGCCTGTCTACATTGGGTGGCCAATTCAAACAGTCTCTGGAGCAGCTGATGAAAATCCTGGGGAGCTGTCAGCCATACTTCATTCGCTGTATCAAACCCAATGACTACAAGAAGCCTTTGGTAATACTTCAGAAATACAGATCAGCCTCTGGTCTGCAGTAACGTGTGTGGTTAAGGAGAAAGTGACTTCTCCGAACTCCTCAGATGCAGCAGAGCATCTTGTATTTCTACCTTCCCCAGGAAAAGCTGGAGTTTGGATGTGGCTGTAATAAAAAGGGCTTTAGGATACAAGGCTTTAATTTTAAAGGGCCCCTGCCAATGGGTTTGAGTGCTGTATTGCAAAACAAGGAATGAGGAATATACAGAAACAGGTTATAAAAGCCACCCCAGTACCTTCAAAACAGAGACTTGGGAGGGATTTAACTAACAACAAATGGAAAAAGGGGAAAAATATAACTGTGGGGCCCAAAGCGGTCCTACTGAGGGAGAAAAGGGGTTGGTGTTTAAAGTGTAGGAGGGCCATCAGAGCCAGTGTCACTGGGGAAGAGGGAAGGTCTTGCAGTTAAGACACTGGACTGGGACTCAGGAGATCAAGACCTGGTTCTGCCTCAGACTTCCTGTGTGACCTTGGGCAAGTAACTTAATCTGTCTGTGCCTCACTTTCTTCCTTTGAACTGGGGAGAGGAGCATGGCCCTGCCCCAGGTGGCGTGAAAACAGGAAAAGCCACCTAACAGAGGGGAGGTGCTCATAGATTGTAATGAGGGGCCTGTAGAGGAATGGAATTAACTTCTGTCTTGCAAGTGGTCTGTTAAGCTAGGAAGTGATGATGGGATTGGCCTCACCAGAAGCTCCCAACCAGCCAACAGACAGACCATGTGTCAACCATGTTCTGGGGCTTTGCATCCATATTCCTGCATCTTTGAAAAAACCTGCATCGACCTGTTGTGGGCAAGTAGGGCCTGGTCCAAGCCCGCTTGGATCACAGAGAGTTTTCTTAAGGACTTGAGAGGGCTTTGGACCAGGCTTCTAGTGACCAGTGTTTTCAGGTGTAAATTCAGGGGCGGGGTTGAGCTCCTTTGACGATGTGTATTCACCTTACTTTTGCAAACAACGGGACAGCTCCTCAGCTGCTGCAAACCAGCACTGCTCCAGGGAAGGCAATGGGGTGATGGTGGCTTGCATCAGGCAAGGATCTGGCCCAGAGACAAACAGAGAAATTCTCATGACCATGTGTTGATGTGCACTGGCTCCGCCAGGGATACATGACAGGCTGAGTTTTCTATCGTGCAGACTGTTGTGTGCTTTCAATTCCTATGGACTTAAGCAGGAACAAA